ATTTTATTCAAATATTAATTTTCTAACATTTTTAATCTACGTACATTGCCTTTGTTCAAAAATTTTATTTACGGAATGTAGAGAAACCATAAATTAATTAAATACATAAAACTGAGATTACTCTTGTAACTTCGTAGCTGAATTAAATGACATTCAGCAAAATAATATTTGTATTTGTACCTTTCTATCTGGTTACCTCCAGCTCTTGCCTTACTGAGGCAAACACTAATCTGCACAAATTTGCTCACACATTGCGCACTGCCAGAAAGTAATGCAAAATCAAAGCAGTTTATTTTCCCATAATTAATGAAGAAAATATTAGTAATCCATAAATTTTGACTAAGCAAAGAACACCTGAGACATTAAACGACTTACGGAAATTGTTATTATCGCTGAAGTTGCTTTCGTTTAGGCTGGCGTAATTTTGCCAGGAATTAACTCTCAAAATATCAAACAGAACTTATGCCAGATTAACCGAAATAAATTTCATGAAGTGTTAATAACGAAAGTCTTAAAACAACATAAATTAACAATTTGGACACATCGCCAAAGTTTATATAGCAAAAGGATAAATTGCGATGTGCGCCACACCCTCAACGATACATTGACGTCTGTGTGGAGTTACTTAACCTAAGCTGAGATTTCTGATATATTTCATTAAAATTTTTTAATACAAAATAGTAAAGCCCATTTTAAGGATTATAAATTACTCAAGTGGAATAAATTAGAGATACACCAACAGCGATAAATAATCAATTCGCAGTGAAAGGTAATATATCGTTAATAATTACCCTATATGCTAATATTGACTTAACTTAAACCACAGATACTTAATAATATAATTTTTGATGTTAAACATTAATAAGATTTAATTTTTCTTTATTAGTCGTTTTACTATTCTTTATCGATTGATATATATTTTTACAGATGTATTTAGATATTTTATTTATAAGCAGTTGTACTAAATCTAATTTATAAAAAGTTATTTACAACTTACAAGCGTTTATTTAATAAAATCTAATAATAAATATTATTACTTAAATTTATAACATATTTAATATAATGATTTATTCTATAATAATACAAAGATAGATAGTCATTAATTTAGAATATCATATATATTATAAAATAGTACAGTATTTTGTATATATTTTATGACGTGGCGTTAACCTTTTATCGCCGCTGTACCATTATTTTGAATAAAATTATTTATAAAATTTACGAATAATTCTTTTATTATTTTACTGCTCTATTTCAGCGCATCTATAATATGTTACACCCCACTGAAATATTCCAATTTGTTTCATTTAGAGCATTCTCACCATCTTCTGCAGGAAAAATTGCCGTTCTCCGAAACTGTTTTTCTAGTACTGCCGAAATGAAATTTCAATAAAATATTCCAATTTCTTTCATTTAGAGCATTCTCACAATCTTCTGCAGAAAGAATTGCCGTATATATGTTTTTTTTTTTTTTGAAATTTTTTGATTTGTCCGAATTAGGACAAAATAGCCAGAAAATGTGTAACGTCCTCACACTCCTTCTGGTTGACCATGAGAAAAACTATAAGGTGGCAAAGCTTTTACTCTCTTTTTAAATATAGTTACCATTGTATAGGTTTCAAAACGATCACGAGATTGTTCTGACACAGTTTTTAGTTGAGTTGCATAAATTATGTGTTAACCGGAAACCACTCTGTCGGGCAGAGCTTAACTAAAGCTTCCATGTTTTGTCAGTGATTTTGCGTAACAGCTTTTCTTGTAATATACTATACCTGATAGTTTATTAGAGTCCATATAAATTTGTATACTCGTGCGAGAGTTTCTCATTATTCTTCTCATTGTGATTTGGAACTCATTGATGTATAAATGTACATATATAAAATATATTCATATAAATATTCTTTTTAATATATATAAAATATGTGCGTAGAGTGTACTTGTAAAGTTCGAAGTAACTAGTTCCAATATGTATTGCATATGTTGTTAAACAATTTGATAGCGAAAACCCCTTATAAACCCCTTATACCTAGAGCTTTCCCAAATCTGCACTATATGTGATATGTACAAAATTTTATTTTTTGCTTGAACTCATATATTATGGCCATTTTTGAATCTCTTAGTTTTTGAATCAAATGTTTGTCGAAGGATATATTAGAGACTATAATAACTCTTATATATATGTATTCTTTAACTTGAGTTAATCACCAATATTCCGACTTCCATTTCTTGCAAATCTTTTAGCATATCATTAATTTTGATTTCAAAATATCTATGATTAACCTAAGCTAATAGCTTGCAATACCTTTGACTGATGTTGATCATATCCAGCGGTTTTTGTAATCTATCTGCAATAAGACCCATGATTTTAGTTTACACAAAGTGGATAACCTCGCGTGAGATGTCCTGTTGTTTTTACGTCTGCAAACTAAAAGAAGTTAAAAAGTTTTAAAGATTTTAAAATTTAATAGACATATGCCTATGTCATTTAAGTGACCAGTCTCCGACTTACTTTAAACTTAAGCAATTGTTCTAATTAAAGTTGGATTGCAGCGAAAAAAAAGTTTGACGGTTACTTGGCTTACATTTGTGGTATTGCTAGGCTGAAGCCTTAAGGAGCTATACCCCCACAAGAGGGATCATTGTAACCATAAAGTGGTTCTTTTTATTATATGCGTGCATCGCTAGAAGGCCGTAATGTAATAAACATCTTTTATGTTTTTCCGCCTTATGAATTCGCCTTTCATTGTTGTATTTCATTTTGCATTATTCAATCATAAACAAATAAAATTAAATCATTTCTTGATTTTAAGTACATTTCAAGCGAATTTAATTTCTTTTATTTTGGCGAAAAAAATTTTATTACTTTCTGTATAAATTTGTGAGAAGCAGATACTCGAACTCAAGGATATTTAGAAAAGTTTTTAGTACGCTTTTATGGCAACATTTTCAAGTTAACGCAATTTAAATCTGTCATATAAAGGGAATTTACCAAACAATAATGAAAGCAGCCTCGATTTTTTAAATGTTTTTGTGTTTTTAGTTGAGATTCGGGCTGTGCAGCAACTGTGAAATTTGCAGCTTCGGCTTTGCCAAATACTTCCGCTAATAGGAAATATCGGCGTCAGAAAGTCGCGCCACTCTGACGCCTACAGGTATGATGCATTATTTAAGCCTTGCAATTCCGAAATGCCTCCACCATTTGGTCCAACACAATTTTCTTTTTTTTTGCTAAAAGTTAAAAATAATCAAAATAGGGTCGAAATAAAGTTTATTAACAAAAAGTTTAAAAACTAATTTTTTCACTATGCTCTGGATATCACATCATTGGCAAATAGCTAAGAGCAATTTATTTATTAAATATTTATTGCATATATTTATACGAATAAATAAATGCCTGCAATAAATATATGCTTGCAAATTCAAATAATTACATTTATTTGTATTAGTATACACAGATACAAAAGTATCTGTGCAATAATCAAGTTTTAGTCCTAAAAGCAAAATAAATCAAAAGTATTAATAACGAAATTCTAAAACAAAGACAATGAATCAATTAAAGATTTTATTTTTTCAGTAAACTAAACTGAATTTTTATAGAAAGAAATTGGGTACTTAGTTCTTGTTAAGAATATATGTAGTACCCGAACAAGTAATAGATATATGTCCCAAGACACAAAAAGTAAATTTTTACTTAAAGTTTAATATTTGACCGTTCAATCGGCATTCAATCTGAAACAAAGTATCAGTCACACCCATGCAGTCAAAATAAAATGAGACCGTTAAACTGTTCCATGACCTTACAGCTTACCGATTTTGTGGTTGTGGTTAAATAAGTTGTTTGGTAGAGAGGTTTCAAAAAGTAGTGAACTACAACTACAAAAATATTTTTATATTATTTTAATTAAATGAATTTGTGGCCAAATACTTATTATCAGTGGTCTTGGAAATATTCCGTGTATTTCCGTGTAAATAATTTTTTTTTGAGACTGCAAGTACCAGGAATCGAATTCGTACCCTGCCAAATTTGAAGTTCAGAGTTAGCGCACCTTAACCAACTGCCCCAAAACCATACTTGACTTTTATGTTCGCACATTTTTCTGGAGTATTGTTAATATGCTCTGCAAGTTTTATTAACAAATTCACTTGTTGTGTTTATATTAGAACGAAATCATAAATCAGCTATGGAATAATTGAATTAATTAATTATATTTATTTTTTTAATTGTTAAATTTCAATACAATTCTACTTGCATACTTTTATATTATTCTTTCTAATGTGTAGAACCTAATCTATAAGTTGTTTGGACAATTCATTAATGTCGTAATCAATCAAATGTTATCAAAAACTACTAAACTTTTTTCATAGAACAACAAAGAATTTATTCCTCCTGAATGTCAAAATTAGAGTAAATATAGATTAAAACCATGCTGAGAAACTAAACTCTTAACTATAGGTATTTGTACTAGGACTACAGAATATTACAAACGAGTAAAGTTGTTAGTTTTGGTTTGCCAAGTTAGATATCCTTTACGCAGAGTTTTAAATCCGAATTGTCCAAATAACATAAATAATATACATAAATAATATAATCCAATATATAATAATAACATATATAATAACACTTAATATTAATAAAAGCTGGTAGAAATTTTTTCTTCACTATTTTCTTTCATCTGCTGAAGTTGAAGAAGCTGAATGGTAGTATGAAATATAACGAATAAGATTTGAAAGACAATATATCCATATCTGAACCGGTAAATATAATTCTGACTAAGAAAATTAACTTTTGGAACTTTTTTGTAGAAAAGAAAACATATAAAATTGAGGCCACCGGTAGTATAACTAATCAGTATAGTACATAAAAGCATCAATTCAGTTCCACCTATTTTTTTTGTTGTATTTGTAAATAAAATCCACAAAAATATAAATTTTAAATTATGTTTATAATGCTAAATAAAAACTGACTAATAAAGAACCGCAAATACTATCTTAGATAAATAATATATATATTTTTTTCCAATAAATTCAAGTGTTTGTTTGTATAACATATATCTTTACTTATACGAAACGATAATCTGAGTTATCTATTTTTTTGTTTTAATAACAATTTTATTTATAGTCCTTTGTTGTACCACACCTCTTCTATAGTAGGATCCTTTTTATATATTTGATCTTGCACTTCGATTTCTAAACGTTTAACTTTTATTGTTTGTCGCTGATTATATAACGCACAGCCTAATGGAGTAGTCACAGTCAGAAATAAACCACAAGTTATAACTTGAAAAGGCATATTCAGGGAAGGATATCTGGTCAAAAATCCATTCTCCTTTGTCATGTTATTGACCATTACAGGAATTAATGTCATTGGTGGAACACACATAGATATTCTGCTTACAATAACAGCAAATATGCCTAAAACAGCCACTCGTTTTGATACACTAACTTGTTGATTTTTTTGGTCCATTACGGCAATACCATTCCGAATTTCTTCATAGCGCATCATAGGAACATTTATGCAATTGGCTGCTGCAACCGCGGCCAAAGGTACAATACGACCTATAAGTGGATGGGCTTGTGCGGCCACACGATTTAGTGATAAAGCTGTAGCTACTGCACCTCCAGTGGCCAAACAATAGCATTTTATAATTTTTCCCGTTTTGATTTCAGATTTTCCAGAACGATTTGTATAATTAACGATGGCGTTAAATGTTTGATTAATCCATTGCCAAAAGACCACTGCAGTATTTGTCTTATAAAAGGTCATCATACAGCCTGTGATAATCATATTCATTGGCATTTGCGCGGACATGCGACCAATTAAAATAGATTTTTCTCCAGTTTCTGGATGAAATGCGGAATCATAAAGATATTTTGCTTTCCACACATCTTCAATTGTATATGCCTCAGGCACATCCCTGCCTGCACGGTAATTTTCCACAATCCCACGTGCTCTCTCCAACTGCGCCCCAGTTGCTAAAATATTTAAAGGATTCGTGAGCAGAAAGAAATGTTTCGCCCGTCCGATATAAGTGCTTTGATCAAATTTCGGTTTGTCAATGTCGACTCTTGGCAATGAAGATATTTTTTTAAGAACAAACTTTGAGTAGCCATTATTATTCATTAAGATATATTCACAAAAATCACTTTTATTATTGAGACAATTATTACAACCAATAATTTTGTTGAATTTCACAAAAAATTTTTAAATTGAATTAAAAAAAAAAAATCTGAAATAAAGTGAACATTTAAATGAAATATAAATAATAAGCTATGTGAAATGAAAATAAACAAAACTAAAACAAAGTAAATAGATACATTTTGTATGTATTTACCATCTAAAATTCAATACTTTTTATTTGTTTTAAATTAAAAAAATTTTAAAAAAACTTCGTAAATAACATCAGGAGGCATAAAGTAAATATTATTTCAACTGCAAATTAATTTTTTTCATTAAATACATGTTATTTATTGAAATTGTATTTTAATAAAAATTTAAGTGAATCGAAGCTGTACAGTTCTATTCTCTAATGCAGGAGAGTAGTACGAGTATGTAAGGTCTGAGGTAACTGACATCATCATGCTCCCTATTTACGTATGCATTGCTCATTTGGTTCGGGATAATCCCTGCCTAAATAGAACTTTTGTAAGTCCTCGATAGGAAAACTCTCCACACCTCCCCACCTGTATAAACTACAGATGCAAGCCTAATGAACAACACTATTCCTGTCGAGTTATTTACTCCACCGCTAAATTCAAGAGACTCGACGAGCACCTACTATCTCTGGCGCGCAGATATCTAAGTCATCGGCATAGTTTCCCCACCCCTATATTCTTGACGCCGAAGAACTTCCTACTGAGTTTCCACAAGCTTTATTCCACAGGCCTCCCTAATCCCTTGGTCGCTACTTCGACGAGATGGCTCGCTCCCCCACTCCATTCCGCTGTACAATCGAGAATATTTAAACCCTCTACACAGAGTATACTCTTAAGTAGTCCCATTTCCTTGGTAATGCTCTCTAGATAAATATTCATTATTCTAGTTAGGTAGGTAGGTTGGAGTGGCGGCCGTGTTTACCAAGATAGCCCACTTGAGTACAGATAATGGCCCGTTGTGCTACCACAAGGAAAAAGCGATGTTCATTATTTCTAACAAATCATTATTCCTTACCGTGTCCTCACCCCTATCTTAGATATATTTGTAATAACCAATCTAAGCGCCTTTCACCTTTTTCTCCTGATTACTGGAATGGTGCTGCATCCGCTGAACGCGGCTGCAATCTTCCACAACCGTTCCTAAGAGGTATTTTTGTTTTATTTTTATGTATAAGGAATATTGTACAGTATTCAATAAACTCAATATTTTTTCTTAAAATTTACTAAAAATAGGATTCATTGATAATTTAAAATTTATTTAAAATTTATTAAAAAACATTTCTCGAAATGTTATTTAATTGTTCGATACTAGAAATTTCAAACGAGGTTAAGTGCATACCGATGCAATGGAACAAAATAGTACTAAAAACTATTTACGCCAA